ACGAGGTAGCTGACTGCAAGATGGCTGGCCGGTTGGGTGGTGCACCAGCCGGACACGACTAGACAAAGCAGACTGTGAGCAAGACCATTCGGTTGGAGATCATCTGAAACTGTTGGACTTCTCGCAGCAGATCCTCTGATGAACAATTTGCTCTGCAGGTTTGCTTCAGCGGGGACCCTTTTCTGGTCGTGTCTCCTCTTGGCGACCTCTGTGCCCCGAAGTCGCACTCGATTGAAGTCGGCGGTTTCAGAGCTTGCAGGGTGAAGGATGCCAGGCTTCGAGGGCAATTGATTTCCGAGCTTTCGGTGGCTTGAGGTTTGGCATGGGACATGCCATATGATGCGATACCACGAGACATCCTAAGCTCAGGCTGTTCTTCAGCATCATCGCTGCCATGGGCTTAGCTCTGCTCTGGCGAGACTGAGACTTCGGGGATCCACTGGCTCAGTGTGGCCTAAGCGTGGGTCTGACAGAAACGGTGGTTTCTGAAAGGTGGTTTGGGGTCCTTGCGGGGTGAACATGTGCTGCTGCCTCAACTGGTCCGTGCACGAGTTTCTGGACTAAGTCTGCTTCTGGAATCCACTCTAGGCTCAGATTTGAAGGTGTTCTTGAAGTCGCCATCGCAGTCTCCGGTGGGCCAACTGAACAGAAGTTTGCACTGCTACACTTCTATTGAAAAGAGCTGCTAAGTGAAGCAGAGACTTCTTAAGACTCGGAACAACGGAGGTGAAACATGGCGAATATGATAAGCCACGGCCAACAGTCTGCGTTCCCAAAGGTGGATCTCATCGGATATGCCGAAGTGTGGACATACCAGCCGGAGGTGTCTGCAGCACGGGAGCAAGCGAAGCCTTGAGCCTTCAGCTTTCCCATCTTCCGAACTTCCGAACCGTCACGAGCAGAGACGTACAGAGACGCACTAGTAGTAGACTTGAGCTTCGGTTCTGCATGCTGCCTCGAAGGACGCCATTCCGAGGTGGTTTGTTTCCATCCGTGTCTTGGCGAAGTCTCATTTAGTTGGTGTTTCGGGCTCTTCGGAGGAGTTTGCTTCCACGGAGTTCAGGCACGTAAATGCAAAGAAAGAGGGACGGGAAAACTTCGCAATGGTTGGCTCCGAAATTGTTGGACTGAGCTATTTGCACCGGAGGGGCTTTCGTAGTGGACTGTCTTGACTTCGCGGCGGGATTTCGGGAACGAACCTCGTTAAGTTCAAGCATTCAAGCCGAGCACACAACCTCCGGCTCAGGCAGTGCGATGTTCACAATGAGTCGCTTCATGAGGCGGGTGGCTTGAATTGAAACACCTATGCGAATCGAATTCTGCCGTCTTGACGGCCCTGCGCAGCTCCGACGGTGCCATGGATATTGTGGAGTACCTCATGCAGGCTCTCACTTCAGATCGCGGACCGAATGCCTCTAGTCTGGGCGCTCCACAGCTGAGCTTGCATGTGAGACGCAGCAGATTAGATCCAAAGCTGGTCCTAGAGTCGTACGAACACTTTCACATCGCCCCGCACGCTTCATAAAGGTGTAGGGTGTGTACCATTGTGTATCACTGACGGAGTCGAATGCATGAAGAAGCGAAAGAAAGTGATGAGCCTCCAGCCGATCTATGCATCAGGTGCCCTGGGCAAGAGACCCCAGCAACCCGTACCCGAACGACGTGCTGGGCTCAGTCACCACGAAGCACACACGAGTCTCAAGCTCGGCGCGCGTAGCATCGCATAGCTGTAGCTCGAAGTTGCAAGGGCCAGCCCTACATTTGGATCTTCCTGTTCGCCTTCCAGGTGGGAGCGGAGGGGCAGGGATCGACAGTGCAGCCGGTCGTTTCGAAGGCTTTGTCGCAATACGTGATCCTTAACCTGGTGACCGCCGTGATCTGCGATAACTCCATGAAGATCGTGAGCGTGCGCCCGGCCAAAGGTTAGGCTCGCAGGAGTCTGGAGCCGAAAGCGCGCAGGAAGACGAGGCCAACAGGGCTGAAGAGGCCGAGAAGGAGAAGCAGAAGCAGATCGAGGCAGGGATTTTAAAGGTCAGGTTTTCAAGGAGCAATTGCATCAGACGCCGTGCAGTGAAGTGTGGTGGAAATTGAAGCTTCAGACACTCGCGAGCGAGGAGCTGCGGGAGCTTTTCAAGCTCCTGGACTCCGACGGCAGCGGCGAGGCAACTTCTTGAGCATCGGCTCCTCAGTGACACTTCTCAATCACCGCTGCTTCTTTCATGGCAGCTGTCAGAATTGACGGTGGCTCGCCTTGCAGGTCGACACGGCTGAGTTTGATGGTGCCTTTGAGATTCCAGCCTGTGCCCCGGGAGCGTGCATGAGCTCTCGGGTGCCGTTTTGTTTGTTGGTTGGGCGCATTTGGAGTCCTTTTGGTAGTGTTTATTTTTGAGAGGGGGGGAGCTGTGACCCTTCGACTGTGGGACTGCGTGCATTAATGCTGGTGGAGCGAGAAAGAGAACAGTGAGCCCGGAAGAAGACACTTGAGGGGGTAGGCCCTACCCGGAAAATGAAATGTGCAATGTGCTCAGGACTCATGACATGCTACACTCGTAGCTGTTAGCTTGCCGGAGCATCCGACTTTTCGCACAGAGGGGACTCTGCAGGCGCTGAAAAACAAGCTGCTCCTCCTTGGCCTGGAAGAGGCTCGCATCCCACCGAGACTTGCGCAGCCACAGAGTCCGCTTTGGTCTTTCGTGCTCCGGTCCATGATTCAACCTCCTTCCACTTCCCGCCGCTTCCAACGCAGAGCGAGCTGAAGCGCTTCTTCCGTGCGCTGGATTCGGACGGCTCTGGATCCATGGGTATTGACGAGTTCTGCGAGGCAGGGTTGTGGTTGCGGCTCATGACGCACATGGGAGGCTTCGCCCACCCAAGCAGGATCCTGCAGAGTCTGTGTCGCTTCCCTGCACATCAGGGCATTCCCGAGCTGTTCGGGCAAGCAACCGCTTTCAGCATGCTCAAAGCCAAGAAGAAGGCGGGCGTCCAGTTCAGTGTCAGACCCGCAATGCCCGAGACTGCTCCAGCTGAGGTGCGAGTACATCTGTATTCCACAAGTCTCCACGACCTTTCTCCCAGCGGACTCTTCATGTACGAAAAAAAGCGACTTTGATCGAGGCAGAGAAAGCCGAGAAGCAGCTCCGGCGGCTCAAGGACAAGCTCGGACCGGTCCTCAGAGTCTGTCTGTATCCCATCCCCCTGTCCCCGGCAGAAAATTGCGTCAACTTCCTGTAGCACTACTCGCTCTGGAGTCCTGCTGTTCCTCCGAAGAAACTGAGCACTGAACCATCTGAGCCGCCGCGCTCCGACGATGGGGTGGCAGGTCTGAGCAATCCTGGAGCTCGCTCGGAGTTTCTAGCACAATGTCCCACATTCTTAGCCCAAAGCCTGCTGTGCAACGTCATGTTGCTGATGGCAGTGATGGCGCTGTTGTGGGCGTTTCCTGGCCCTGGCTTGTGAGGTCACCCTCCGGACAGGCGGCGCTTCAGGGATCTCGGGCTGGGTTCTTCGCAGATGGCAGGCTTTGGATTGGCTGTTTTCGGTGCTTCAGAACAAATCAGAAAGGCTCCGGAAACTTAGGAGTACTTAGGGGCATAGGAGCGTCTGAATCTTCCTCGTGGTCTGATTCAAGCGCGTGTTGGCAGGCTCACAACGATAGAGCCGCAGTAGCCCCAGGGGGCTTCTGCTTCTGAGCAACTCCGGGCCATCGAGTCGCGTTGGAAGTTCGGGCTCAGGCCCAAATCGGCCGGAGAGCTCGAACTGCAGGATCGGTGGGAGAGCATGAATGAGAGAGAGATGCATTGATTGCAGTGCTCATGTTGCAAAAGCGATGGCTCAAAAGCCCTTGAGGACGACATCCGCAACCTCCAGGTTGAGGTCGAGGCCCGAAAGCCAAACAGGGCCTCGTGCCAACAGCTTAGGCTTCAGCATCGGGGGGGGGGTGCGCAGACGCGGCTGGCCAAGCTGGACGAGACGGTGAAGACGAGCTTGAAGCACGTTGAGCGTATCGGGGCTGGAGCCCCAGTGAGGCATCGGAAGTGCTGAGTCGGCGGGGATCCCCTCAGGAAGTCCTGGGCACATTGTGATCGGGTGCTGTACCTCAGAAACTAGGCTAATGCTGTGGATCTTCCTGGGCTGAGTCCAGATCACTCGAAACCAGAACAGAGCATGAGACACGCTTTGCTTCGAGTGGTTCGGGCGCATCTCAGGAGGTTCTGAGTGTAAGACTGCCTGCGCAAATCGATCACGAGATATGAGCTTTTTCCCGGGCAGACTTGCACCTGCTAATGTTATCACTCGTGCAGCGTCGGAGATGGTAGAGTGCTGTCACGTGTCGTAAGGGGTAGCTGCAGGCGCCAAGTCCCGGTCCAGCTTGCCAGAGCTGTCGAAAGCGACGAAACCCGAAGGCCTCCGAAGGCCTTGTAGGCGCTGTGAACCTGCGGAATACCCCTTTCGGAAGGAAGCGTCCAAGATGTTACCCTCTCACTGGTAGCTTAATGACCTGGCCTGACCTGGCCGCGGGCCAGTTGCCTTAAGGGCATCTGTGCCTTGCTTTGTCTCTTAAAAGTTTGCCACGCCCACGGATGGCAGAAGACTTGAGCAGGCTCTGCGACCGAGCTCCGCAAGGTGCTTGGTAGAGCTGCTGGAGTGTGGAGGATGCGCACTGCACAGGCGGCCGTTCCGGCTCAAAGAAGTGCACAGACCTACAATGATTCAGCCAGAAGCCCCGCAGTCCTCCAGCTCACTCCAAGCTCCTGGTAAGCCGAAATTATCGAGCGGAAATCGCTGTCTTGAACACAAGCGAGCACCCTGAAACCTTGTGCCCTAGCTTGAAGAACAGCTCACTGGAGCATCCGAGCCATTACTGCACAAAGCCGCAAGCGACTGTGAGTGGCATGGGTAGTTGACTCTTGGCATCCCCTTCTCAGGCAGGATGTGTCCAGGATTCCACCCCAAGACTTCTGCTTCTCACCAGAGGCCGCAGGCCGATCCTTCTCTCCGCAATGGTGGAGAAGGACTGAGACGGGCGGGCGGCAGGGCCGGAATTTCTTTTCGAGCCTGTGGACTTCGGACAAGCCGAATGCTCCGAATGACAGGAGAGGCCCGGTAATCCGAGCCCTAGTCTCAGCTCGGGGTGTTGGGAAGCCTGCTAAATAAATAAATGAATGACTATCTATACTTATATATGATAGTATCATGTAGTGTGTGTATATATATATATTATATACACACCACATATATATATATATATACACATATAGGGCTCAGATCGCCGGACAAGGCCGGAATACTGGTAGCCCCAGGCGACTGATTGCGTCGCCGTTTCTAGCACCGCGCCATTGCGCCAAGCAGCCCCAGCTGGCACCGCAATAAGAGGGCCAGGAGATCGAAAGCTCGCTCTCTTTGGAGGGCTGGAAAGCAGCTTTCTAAGCTGCAGAAGCTTCGTCTTTGGAGCCACCACGGTTCGGGTTGCTCTATGAACAAATCATGGCGCAGCAACAATGGACAGCAACAAGGTGGTGGCGGTCCCAGATACTGGCGCGGCTCGTGGCCGCGGCAGGAGTCGGCCTTTCCCTCGTACGATCAGGGGCGAGGAGCACAGTCTTGGGACAGGAACTCGCTGAGCAGTGGAGACAGCGCAGGGTCTACTTCGATGGTTCAAGTGATTCAGGACGCGCTCAACCAGACACGCAAGTGCGAACAGAGAGTAGCATCACTTGTCCGCTCGAAGGAAGAACGCGCCCGACTCTGGGAGAAGTACGAGGCGGACCTCCAGAAATCTTACGCCAAGGAGTACAACAAGTACAACAAGGACCTGCAGCGCATCGAAGAAGATTTGGTCCGCGCACATGTGGCGCAGGAGGAGTCGAGAAAGGAGCTCCTGCAGGTCCATGCGGGCCGTGCACCTCGGGAGGAGCAGCACAAGGCCAGGCTGGACGAACTTCTTGCAGAAGGCAGAGGAGACTACACGAGCATGGAGGCCAGAGACGTCCTGGACAGGGCAATGCGTGCCAACATGCCCGAGCCGGCCAGAGCCAGAGAACCATGGGAATACGCAGGACCACCAAGTGGGAGACATCCGGTCCCACCGACCTTTGGGACGGGTCCTCCTGGACTGGAACGACGGCCTATGGAAGTGGATCTGAGAGGAGCTCAGGGCTCCGTGACGGACCATCTACCGGCTCCGGGGACAGGGCCCGCGCCTTCGACGACAACCTTTCCTGTCGACTATGTCGGGGAAGGTGCCCCTCCGAGCACGGCACCGTACCAAGCGTCACCGGGCAGCCTCTACTCCAAGGTGAAACCTCTTTCACCGAGTGCTCGTGCGAATCCATACGAGGCAGGCCCGGACTCAGGGATGATGACAACGGCTTCAACTGTGGCGGACAGACTGCAGGCAAAGAGAGCCATGATGCCATTTGGGCACGTCCCCCCACCACAGGTGGGACTCATCTCTCCGGTACATCCGGGGAAACCCCCGGTTGCTGCCATCATAGAGGACGACGAGTTCAGTGGAGAAAATGCCGACGAGCAGAACACCAAGGAGGAAGCCACGGACGAGCCCACTTGAGCTACGTGGAAATGGCTCTCTGCCGTCACGCACCACGGACGCCTCCTGTCGCAGGGCTGGTGGGGCCGTGCACCTTCGAGACTCCTGGGGTTGAGTCTCGGGTTGCGCTGCTCCCCGTCGGCCAACTGCACGGGAGGAGGGACGTGTGTGGGTTACGGCGGGAGCTTTGTGAGAAGCCTGATTTTCCTGTACAGTGTAAAGCTCCAACCTTTCTCGGTTGTGTTTTGTGCAGGGATGACGCTCGTTGGGCCTCGCAAGCAAATCTATCTGGTGCTCCACCTGAGTCTTCGCCAGCGTCTGCCTGGTTTTGGCAGACTGCTGACGGAAGTGCTCATCCGTCTTCCTCGCGAAAGGGCCGCGATCATTGGGTTTTTGATTGCGTGCCTTTTCCTCCGCCCATTGCCGCACTCATCTCTGTGTGCGAGCCTTTCTTCCAGCAGCTGCCCGATCCATCACGTCCGAGTTGCGCAGCCAATTTGGCGCAATCACAGCGCCCCACGCGTCCACAGCCAGCCACATGCTGCAGTACTATTGCTCATTTGAGCAATGGACAGCCCGACAGTCCTTTCACTACGAATGTTCCTGGTACTCCTGCTGATACAGATCCCCGGGTTTTACGCGTTGGTCTCAGTGCCCATCCACAGCCGGAGGACAGTTTTGACATTTCCAGTAGGGATAGTACCAATACGGGCATAGTTAGTCTGGAAACGAGTGCGCCCAACATGTGTATCGGTGGCTCTGGGACACAGGCCTCGTTCCAGACTAGGCAATGGCCCGTATATCACGGTCTAAAGGTTGCTGATGACTGGTTTTTCCAGCAAGCACACTCAGTCAAGATTTTGGCATCGCTTGGCTACACGATTTCATTAATGTGCCTTATGTGGAGGGGACTCAGCCGAAGCAGAATCGGAAAAAAGGGCAACGATGAGGCTCGTCGCTCTTGCCTGGGCGAAATTGTTGCAGCCCCCCTCTCTTGCGTAGGCTCCACAGAACCTGTGCTGGTCTGGAGGCGACAATCAGACACCCACCAGCGCAGGAAGGTTAGGCGGAACATGCCATGGACACCTTTCCTCTTGTGCTGCATTTTGCAGTTCTTCAATGTGCCCGCCTGTGTATGGGCTGTCCCCCCTCAGATTGACCCGCATCACCTCACTGTACTCGCGGATGCCTTTCTAGCAGTTCCTGTGCAGGCTGCCGCCGAGGTTAGTACCGTCCCAACTGAGCATGTGAGCGCGCCTACTGCCAATACGACCACCGAGGACCATACCATCCCCACTGCTACCCTTGGGGTTGCGGTCATGGCGCCACATTACCATACGAGTTTTGTTGACATCACAGTTGCTGTTGGGGATGATACACAGGCCTTAGCGTCCAAAGCCAGGGAAGCAGCCGTCACACTTCCAATTGATGTCCTTGACTGTGCTTTGCCCGTTGAACCAACTGCTTACAAAGGTATGCTCACGTATGTACTTCACTCCGGGGCTCTTGATGGTCTGAGCCACGCGACAGTGGTAGTCAACCTTGAACCTGCAGGAGGGAGGATCTTTGCGGCTATTCTGCCATCTGTCCTTGCGTTCACTGACTGGATTTCTTTCATCAATCCCATGCTTCCAGCGGGTTGCTTCAGCGTTGATCTGTTCATCGGAACAGAGCGCATACCCCATCCAGTTGGGGAAGACATTCATTTGTCCCATGGGGACCTTCTCACCGTCTGTGATGAACGCCGAATTCACAGACACGGCCCTCTTCAAGTTGAGCTTCTCGGTGACTGTGCTCAATGGAGGACGTCGCGAGACGTACAACAATTTGATGAAGCAGCCGGGTGCTGCCTGCTATACAACTCGCAGAGGTGGTATGTCAGGTCAGAAGGTGACTCTCTACAGGCGGTACATGAAGCAGCACTTGACGCCGTTGCTTGCACCCACGGTTCCACCCAAATTGCGTGCGCAGCCCGCCCACCGATGCTTGACCTCTGTCTACACGGACGAAGATGCAAGGGCCTTGCAATGTTGATTGACCTCCCTGAGGTTGACTCGCAGGGTGGTCTGAGCGCAGTTGATGGTCGATGCTTCATATTCCTAGATTTCAGGCCTCTCGGGGTGCGACCCTTCGGGTGGTTCCAATTCGGGAATCAGGTGCATTTGCCCACAGTCCTCCGGTCTTTCGAGCAGGAGCTTCCAAAACGTGTTGACATTGAGGTTATTGGTAAGGAATGTCAGGGGTACTATGTTGAGGTGCAGACAGGAGAGGTCTTGACATTTCGAGCGACGCCAGACAGCGACTTCAGTGCCGGATCACACTGTACGGAGTCCCGTATCTCGGAAGGGGAAGATGAGGACTCTGAGGAATCACCGCAACACGTCCGCCAGTCTTCGGATGAAGGTACAGGACAGGCATCTCGCAGTAGATCCCCCAGAAGAGTCCATGTAGTCGACAATGAGGACCCTGACAGACAAGCACATAGCAATACAGGGTGTATCACTGCTTCGAGTGTTGATGCTCTCGAACTTTGCCTGCACACTTCTCCTGCGGTCACCCGGTATCAGTCCATAGAAGCACTGCGAGTTGGGGTCACTTCTGCCGATAGTCCCATAACGACACGGTGCACCTTTCAGATCTTCACTCCGGGGTATAAGAGCCTTGAAAAGAGCAGTGTTCTCTTCCTTCCGTGCACGGAGCGGGATGCCCTTGAAGACCTGATGCAGGAACTTGCTGAGAATGTTCCTCCATTCTTTGAGATGCTTGTGGCTACGCAGCCCCAACTCGGCAGAGATCATGGATCGCTTGTCCTTGTTCCCACATGGCAGGGCCCTGATGGCCGATGCACAGTTGTTTTCGATCTCCATGCTATCGGTGGGCCCATTTTCGCTAGGGTTGTCCCTGAACACGTGTCCTTTTGGGAATGCCAGCAAGAGGCACGAAGGTTCACTGACAGGCCAATCAGTGTCTACGCCGCAGGCTCAATGCACCCATGCCCGGAGGGACAGGTTTTCCTTGTCACACATGGCTGCGTTGTGCAGATTAGATTTGAGGGCATAGCGCCGGAGTGGTTTGGTTCTCTTGTTACGAGGTTCAGCAGACCGATACCCTGGCTCGAAGACCCACCTATTCCGAGATCACCGACTGAGGATCTCGCTTTGGTCCTACACGGTGACAGCAGCACCATCCTGCCAATAGGCCAACCTCAGGAGGTTCCACTTTCCGTGCGACTTGCCAGTCTCATTCAACGTACACCCGAGACCACCACTTTTGTGCATCCAAATGGAGGTTTCCTCAATGATGTTTGCCAAGCAGGTCATGATTGCCGTGAAGTCCTTACTGCATACCCTCTTACCCCTGTCGAGGGACGTAGAGGCAGGCTTCTGTTCCTGGACGGCCGGCCTGCCAACGCTGGCCTCGCCGTACTCTATCTCGAGGGCGACGATGACCCTTTGCAATTTTCGGATCGACTTGGGCTCCGGCCCCCACCGCTTCATCACATCGTGTACGCCAGAATGCCCTGTTCTGGGAGCGACACCTCAGTTGAGGGGGATGTTTTTGCGTT